TTTGTGGTTTCAGCTGAAATGATAACCATTTAAAAAGTAACTTTCTCTGGCACCATATTCAAAGTAGATCTCTGCTCTTTCTTGGTTTTCCTGTCTAGTTGTATTAATGTTCCTTCTATCCAGTCTTTAAAATTTAAATTATATTATTCATTCATTTTACATTTTTATATCTCTTTTCCTCACTAGGATTCATTAGAAAGAACATCATTTCTCTCTCCTTTTATATTGTTTCCCCAGGTCACACTCAGCATCTTGTAGATGCAAAATAAATATTGCTTAATAAATAAATGAATGATTTTTCATTCGAAGAGATGCTTGGGTGCCGTGTGAGGCAAAAAAAAACCAAGTGTTTCCATGGCAATAGCTGAGAAACTAATTATTGAAATATTTGCCACTGCTGAATGAAATGATTCTAAAAATTTGTGAATATCTATTACATACTGAGCATTGGCTAAATACTTATCAAGACATCGGTCTATTCACTTCTTTTTTGGACCTGTGACAGTTACATGATAAGAAAACTTCATATTGCTATACTGGTTAGAAAAGGATGGAATTGAAAGAGATAAACTGAAGTATTTTTTTTTAGACCCAGACATAACTACCTTGATGCCAAATAGCACAGTTCAACTTCTGTAGATGGTAATAAAGCTTAAATTATACCTCACTATATTTATTTATAGTAACAGCAAAGGTCTTTCATGAAGGAAAAAGAGCTGAAGCAGTCTGTTACCTATTCTCAAACAATAAATATCAGAAACTAAACAAGAGAGCTTGACTCACACCTAGAAATACAGTATGTTTGGTTCTGTTCCTGTGTCAAGGAACCATCCAGAACCAGTTACCCTATTTCTCAGTATATGGCGGGCACAAGGTTAGTATATGAAATAAAACCCTAGAAATACCCTACTAGGGGCATCAGATGTAGAACAGTTAAGGAAGATCCTCTGGCCAACATTGAAGTTCTCTCTCTTCCGTCTTTGGTTCTGAGTGTGGTGTTATCAAGAATAATGATCGATAGTTCATTGAAGTTACTGGTTTCTCCACCTGTTACCTGTTCCTCCACCTTCCAGCCAGGTTACCATTCTCTTCAGACAGAACCCGAGTTATGCCCAGCTGACTCCTTTTCAGCACTTGATAGGAGTTTCCTGTCTCTGGTGAAGTTTGTCTTATATTAAGGGGTCTTTTCCTTAAGATGACTTCAATTCCCCTCATTTCTTCATCCTCCTATCAGCTAAGAGGATCTGAGGTATTTTCATGCAATTTTTCTCATTTCTAATTTGATTATGTGTTTGCCAGAGAGAATATTCTAGGAGGGGAAAAGACAGATGTTTAGAGCATTGTTTGCCACTAAGTCCTCAGTACTTAGTTAAGTCATGGCACCTAGTTTGTGTTCAGCACGTATTTAATGACTGACCAAAACCTGTCAGAAGTCCCATCAATGATAGATGCGTGAAGTGTCAGTCATCTATTTTACCTTCTAATTTCGAAATCCTCAGCCTATACCTTCATTTCCACCTTGATCATCAGAGAGATGTAAGTAGGGATGATCTTTTTATTCATCCCATTAAACTGAGGGCCAAGTAATTTCTAGATGACTGTATTATGCTGTCATTGAAATGAAGACTAAAGATATGCAGCCTCATATAACTTTTGGCTTCATATAAATTACCTATACCTATTGGGAAAAATTTAAAAATAGAAGTAACCAGCAATCAGAAAATGCCATATTAACATTTAATTATGAAATGAAGGGATTATTTAAAAAGATTCTAATCAAAAGGGATTCGTGTTGATTTTGTATAATATGGACGGTGAACTATTTCTCTCCATCATGGTGGTGGCTATTCTATAAAGGGGACAGATTCAAGAAAATGTCATCTTTCACTTCAGAATCATAAGAAGGCAGTAGGAGCAGATAAGAATTCCAATTCTACTTTCAAAATGAGCCTCTGCCAATTGTAGCAGAGATGAATCAACAACAGGAGAGGCATCTACAGTGGCTTTCTTCCTTTTTCTTTAGACTTTAAAGACTAATTAATACAACGTAAAAATCAAAATCAACAAGAACCTATAAACCAGAGACACACTACGGGGAGGGGGGTGGGCGGGGAGAGGAAGGATTAGGGTCAAAATAAGGGAGAGGTGCAATTGTATGGGGAATATAACCAAAATGAAAATGTATACATTGTGCAAAAATGAAAAATGATATCAGAATTTTATGAAATAAAATATTAAAAAAATAAGTCCTGCTCAATGGGAAAGAATCAAGCATAGTAAAATTCTCTCTGTTGATATTGATATTAGTTTTCATTTTGTAAGATTAAAAAAAAAACCTCTTTATAGAAGCTCTCTCAATCTAGAAGGTTTATACAGCTGTTTTTTGTTTTTTTTTTTAAATATGGCTTGGCCTAGATTATTGCTAATAATCTCCAGCTGATCCCCTTGTGGTCTGCCTTAAATCCATACCTTCAAGGCAAATCAGACAAGATAACTGCATTATTTTCTCTGTGGTTGTTATAGACATTAATTGAAGGAAAATATTGCGATGACTAGGAATTTAGTGTTAATTCAGTTCTTGACATGTTTTTTTTATGAGTGTGTGATCACCTGATAGCAGACATTCTAATTTCAAAGTGAGTTAGTAACCTGTGTGATATTATGAGAGATGATTGAAAATGCATCTGTGTTGAACTCCTGTAAGTTTACACTATTTAGTATGAATAACAAATCAATTTTTTAAAAAAGGTATAAAAATTTATAACTCAAGCCATGGACAGTGACCTAGAAATGATAAAATAAATCAAACATGAGTTCTGACTAGCACAAAAGGTTTGAGGAACTCAGGAGTTGTTTGAACAACTGAAATGTGCAGCAATAACTCGTATGTCCAAACATCCAAAGATCTGATCTCTCTTCATGTAAAAATGAACTCTAATAAACATGCCTCAAAAGAGTTATCAGAGGATAAGGCAGTGCAGTGGACACACACACACACAGACACACAGACACACACACACACACACACACCACATTTCTTCATAAAATGAGTCATTCATTTCAATTTGCAAAAAGCATAAACAAAGAATCAACTTTTTTTTTTATTTTGATCTTGCATAGGAAAGGGGATGAAACAATGCATTTTTCCCCCTAAGGATAAAAACTGCTGAAGAATCATTAAAACCTGGGAAACAGTCAAAATCCACAGGGTAAACCTACAGATTCCTGGAGGTCCAAAGACATGCATGTCAATATCACAAGTGAAGCTAATGTTGAATTTTTGAAATATCAATGCCATTGACTCTCTGAACTTGCGTGATGAGTTTTGAATGAACAATGGAATTTGGTGTCAATTCTCACTTGTTTGGCAGATTCGGTATAATCTTAAAGGTCTGGCTTACACATCTGTGATCACTACATTACCCCAGCAATGATCTGACCCACACAATCTTAGCCTTGAAACTGACCTGCATATATTCTGTGTATGTTTTGCTTTGGATCTCTCTGCTACTCAATTCACTAATTTAGCTAAATTATATTTACTGTGAAGAAGATACATGTGTGTATGTGTGTGTGTACACATACACACTCACACATACTTATAATCCATGCCCTCCTCAGGGGATCACAAATGACAATGTTCAAAGACATTAATAGCAATCAATTCCATGTGATAAACTAATGTGACATATATTTTTAAAAAGCTTATCCCCACTGAAGGTGAATGTTTTGATTATAACATTTGTGATATCTAGGTATTTGAAATGAATCAGCTTTGCTCTGTGAGTATGTGTACATGCGCATGTGTGTGTGTGTGTGTGTGTGTGTGTGTGTGTGTGTGTTTATTTTGGTAGATAGAAAAAAATGGTAACCCTTCAGATATGTGAGAGCAGTCTAGGGGAAAGTGTCTACTGTTTTATAAAAAGGTAACACATTGATCTTCCATAATAATTAAATAAAAGTACAGAGCTACATTGCTATTCCTTTCTTTAGGGGAAAAAATCTGACTCTTGTCAGGTAAGCTGCTCAGCAAATAGTAAGTTTAATTCCTAACACCCACATGAGGCACAAGAATAGTTGGATTAACAACTCCAGTGTCATGCTGTCAGCTGCTGTTTATTTAAATTAAAATGTCACCATCCAGAAATAAATTAGGAAGTTGAAAAACGATAAATTTCTTAAACATACAGTACTTTGGCACCTTGTTAAAATAAATCTATTACATTTGTGTTTTTTAGAACTTTACACAGACTATTTCCATTTTGACATTCAGAGTATAGCAGGTTTTGTTTTTGTTTTTGTTCTTCAACTTTCTTTTTCCTTCCCTTTAGCTTTCCCCCCTTCTTGCCTGCCTGCCTCCCTCCCTCCCTCTTACCCATCCTCTCTCCTACCTTCCCTCCCCCCTCCCCAAGCTCTCTTCTTCTGTCTTCATTATCCTATCTATGCTATATGAGACAAGTAATAACACTGTTACATCAATACACAATTATCAGATGCTTTACTTGCATGTCTAAAACATATTGTTCCTCTATGTTTATCTAAATAGAACTAGATTTTTACAGATTTCAAAGTTCACTTCCTACAACTAATCTTTCTCAGTTCTACTATTCGATGCTCCTCCTATATTTGATAGGGAATAAACATGCCCCCTCCAGGAGTTTCCTTCCTGGCTTCCTTTTATTTGAAGGCTAAAATTTTGGCTCCATCACTCAAAGACCTCCCAATTATCATCCATATCCTGAGATATTTTAAGATGGTTATTTGGCTCTGGGTTCAGGGCACAGCAGGTTGTTCTACTTCAGGAGCCAATTTGGTCACAAGTAGGAAGAGAATGAACATCTCAGGAAGAAAAACACTCTCTCTCTGTTCCCCTTTGGATGCTTCTTGCCTGTGACTTTGCAGATCAGAAAGGATGCAAATGCACACTATAATGCAGGTTAATCAAATAGGAGACAGTGGTATACAAACATATTCAGCATTAACAACATGGAGATATTTACTTGGCCGGGTTTTCCATTTTCACATAAAAATGCCTCATATTCGGATGCGAATTCAGGGGCGTTGTCATTGACATCCAGGACTTTAATAGCAACAGGTACTCGTGATATCTGACTGTGGTTCCCTATGGGAAGGAAAAAATAACATCAGCATGGAGGGTATTTCATTTGAACGTGCAACTCAACTTTCTTCTTGAAAGCGTGTCTGTCCCTTTCCACTTTCCATAATTAGAGTGTTTTCAACATGGCGGCTGTAGCATCTGACCCCTCAATAAGGAAAAATAGAAAGCGCTTGATTGCTTAAAAAAAGTATATGTCATTATTCTAAACACCATTTGCTGGAGCTTAGCTTAATAAAGACCACCTCTGAATAAATTAAAAAAGGACTTTTGTTATGAGGAGCACTTTATTTACTGATACAGTCCATTATACATAAGAAAAAAAAATGCTGTATGCAACAGATTTATCTCTCTTTATCTCAATTATAAAAAGATAAACCTGAAAAACTCAGCTAAAAGCCAGAATCAAATCAACTTGTGAGAGACTGTCCTTAACAATGATAAAGAGATAATCTTCCAGATGGGGAAATCATATCTTTCATATTTTTTTAATTAAAAATTGACTTTGGGATCTTTTTGAATAAGTTAAGTCCACATCATTTTTAATATTGTTATTTTCAAAAAGATTTTCATCATTGTAAACAAATAATAATTTAATATATCCAGGTCAATTCAAATAGCAGAAGACTTAATGTGTAATCTTTAATCCTTAAGTCCTTAAATTTAAAAAGTTACATACACACACACATACACACACACACACATCTGGTCATCAACACATTGCTGACTTGGGCCATGTGATGATTTTTTCACTTGTAATAAATGCAGTACATTTTGACTCCCACTGTACCATGGAATAATCTTTTGATCTCTTGTAAGTTACACAGAATGCACTGGAGATGGCCAATTATTTATTTGTGTTTCTGTGGCACTGAATATTTATCAACAAGCCAAGAGAGGGAAAGTGTTTGGCAATTGAATATGTAGAAACAGATTTTAAATTGATATCTCAAACTCTTTTTTTCTTTACAACTGATTAAAATTATCCCTCTAGAATCTTCCATTTTTTCATTAAATAAAATAATTTTTCTAAAGGACACACCAAATAATCATAAACATGTTACAAATTTATAGCTGGATAACCCCACAAGCAATGTTATACCATTTGAATTTAGTTAACTACCATGATTGCCCTCCGATACTCTCATTTGATTAACTATGGATGGATGAATATTATCCCATGGAACTCCAAATACCTCAGTACTCAATTATAACCCCACTTCCCCAAAATCAAGCTAATGGCCTTAAGTATCTTTTTTTTACTATCTTATGCTTAATGAATTATTCATTCTTTATTCAGAAATGAAGTATATACCTCCCCACTTTTGATGGAAGAGAAAGTACAGCATATGACCCCAAGACATGGAACTTACATTTTGTACTTTATCTAATTGAATAAGGTAGATAAACAAGGCAAAAGGTATTTGAAACAAGAGATGATTTTATCCTTAGAGATTTGTATCTCTTTTCTAGACTGACCATGAGTTGAATGGCAGCTGCTAGAAAGGGAAAGGGAATATAGTGTTTCCACTAAGCAGACAACATTTGGAGTCCCAATTCTGCCTATCCTACCAACAAGTTATTTCACCTCATTTTATTCCTGAGGAAACAGAAACTCCAGAAATTAATATTTTATTAACACAATTAATGTAAATATTATGAGAAAAGTTAAAAGTGCTCACATAGAACCTTTCTCTTTCGTAATTGTTATCATCAGCGCCATACATATTGAGTCTTTAGTATATACAGTGCAAGACATTTCACATCATCACTCAATCAGTCCTCAATAAAGAGCTATGAAGTACATAATGTGATTTCTGTATTTTTTAAAAGATTTATTCATTCATTCATTCATTCATTTATTTATTTATTTATTTATTTATACATACAAGCACTGGGTACAGTCAGAAGCACGGGAGGGTGAGAGAATTCACCAGAGCCAGAGTGGGGAACAGAACAGGCAGACTGATGAAGTACACTGCTGAGGGGAGCAGCGGGCATGGCAGGAGAGGTCTGCGTGCCATGTGGGACCCTCGCCCGGCAGCCGGGGATCAAACCAGCGCTCAACCGCTACACCACCAGGGAGGACCGAATTCTGTATTTTAGACGTGACAACTGACAATCACAGGAGGGTATGCCTTTCCAAGATTACTCAACTAAAATTTGACACCAAGACACAGTTTGGATGACCTTTGACACATGAGTCATCTTCACAATAGATTAAAGATGAAGTCTCAAAAAACATCCATTTGTTGTTTTGCTGCTTGTTTGTTAAGGTAACAAATCACTGCCTTTTCCCTAAGAATGCTTACAGACTTGTAAGTATTTATCTCAAGATTAACCATTATTTGAAGTTGAAATATCAAAATCAAGCTGGATAATATCAAACAGGTTGTACCACTACTAATATTCTCAGGATTGCACTAAAAACATGCAGCCATTCATGAGAGACTACATAATTTATGTTCCATAGTTTTTCTCATAGCACTACTTCACTCAAGCTGAGTCCCTTTAATTGATTAGTTTTATTTTGTTATTCCTTGCTTTACAATTCTAAGAACCACTGATTATTTATTTAGGTCTATAACATTCATTCTTTCATTCCACATCCTAAGCCAACACTTGTATATATAATTATAGGAACCTTCTATTTATGTATTTTTGTTTTCAATCTCTCTAACCACTTAATAAACTGCCAATCATCAACATAGGCTTTATATAATATATATATATGTGTAAAGAATAGACAGTCACTAACAGGTACATAGTCTTAGAAAATAGCAAGTACACAGAAAAGTTATCATACTCCTTTAATACAGTTTTGCTCCTTGGGAAGTAAAGCAAATACTTATCTTAGTAAATCACATTCATTAGTAATGGTTGATAGGGCCAGGTCTACCAAATATAATATTCTTTGTTTTATTTCTTTTTCATACCTGTCTGTTTGTCTCTCTCTCTCTTACACACACATATACACAACACACCAGACAAACATGCATATACAGACTATTCTGACCATTTTGGCAAAATATAATGTCAAGACTCATGTTTTTAATTTTACTCTTTTCTATTTTCTTGATCTCATAGTTTCAATATATCACAATTATCTCCTAGAACCAGATGGTCAGTAGGTGTAAAACTCAAGTATAGAAGATGGAGAAGTTCTATGAGCTTCTAATTGGGATAAGTGAACATTAATGTAATATACCTTTTCTCATACATCTGGGAGCTATCTTCTTCCACCAAGTACTTACTCATGGAACACAAATACTACACTGGGCAAGCTGTCACTGGGAACCCTGGGGCCCTGATGTTCCTTGCTCTTAAGGAGGAGGTTTCATGCTGACAGAGGTGAACTACGAAGCCTCAAGAATATCATGTCCTCCCTCAATGCACACACAGCTTCTATTTTTTTTGTTGTGTAGAAGAACTGGGGTGTAGGCCAGAGGTGTGGGGGGCGGGTGAGAGGATTCTTCAGAGGCAGAGTGGGGAACAGAACAGGCAGACTGACTGAAATATACTGCTGAGGGGAGCAGCAGGCCACACAGCCTCTAAAGCAGAGTGTCACTTAGAAGTTCCAGAGCCATTATCCCCAGGTTTTATGTGGTACTAGGAGAGTAAGAGAAACACAAAGCAGAGAGTTCTGGGTCTCTTATAAAGGAATGGACATGATTAGCAAAGGAATGTGGAGAAGTTTAAGTCTAAGCATGATCTCAAAAGCAGTGGAGGTTGTTATAAAAAGCAAATGGGAATAAATTGGTTAGACATGGTAGATTTACTGGTGATAGAGGCTAAGGGGTAGGCCAACAAGCTGCCTCAGAGAATCAGGCAAGACTTAGCTAGAAGGAGCCAACATGTTCCTTGGTTGTGGCTGTGTATTCCAATCTCTGCCACCATCTTCATGGGGTTGTTTCTCCTTATCTGTCTTCTACTCCTCTGTCTCTTATAAGAACACATGTTATTGGATTTAGGGCCTACCCAGGTAATCTAGGATGATCTCATCTTAAGATACTTAACTATATCTTCAAATTACCCCTTTTCCAAATGTCATTGTCACAGGTCCCAGGGTTAGGACCTGGGCATTTCTTCTGGGAATCACTCTATATTTCCTCTTCCTGATAAGTAAGGCATTTGTGACGAGATAGAATGATACTATGACAAGCCCGCTCTTGTCCTAGAAAATGAAGATGTGTGAAAAGTATTTAGTTGTACATGCTTCTTTGAATTTATCCCTCAAAATATTGTAAGATATAAGCGCAAGGATATGAAATAAACCATTACTTTCCCCTGAGAATTTTGAGGACACCCTTTTGTCATTGATTCATTTATTCTTTCATCATGCTTCTCTTTAGCTATTCAATCAATATTCATATCTGTATTCTCAGTGACTAAGGCAAAAATCCTATAATCAAGGAATCCACAGTACTCTAGGAGATGCCACATTATAATGGTTTGTTTGTATCCTTGTCCATTCTATAAAATACCCTTTACAAAATGCAGTGGAAGAATATAAGGAGAGAGATTTTCTTATAGTCATAGGGAAGACTTAAATGAGAGGCCAACCTGTAAATTAGCTTTCAGTAATGGTTAAAAGCACCCTACACAAAGAAAGGTGGACACATTTTTTTAGATAGTCACACGCAAAAAGACAGAGAAGACAGAGACCATGTCATCAGCTAAAAGCGAGTCCCAGGAGAGACTCATGGTATGAGTCTCAGGAGAGAAAATTGAGGCCAAATCAGGATTCCTTGGTTATATGGTAATAAGAATGGGTTATGTTGTGTGACCACTTGCAAGCCAGTGAAGTATTTCTGGATGAGATTTACAATTTCATTTTATTATTTTTTTAAAGTTTTACTTATTTATGTGTAGAACAACTGGGGTGTACGCCAGAGGTATTGGGGGTGGTGGTGAGAGGATTCACCAGAGACAGAGTGAGGAGCAGAACAGGCAGATCCACTGAAATAGAATGCTGAGGGAAGCAGTGGGCGAGACAGGAAAGGTCT